GCCGCGCTCGGGCAATGAATGAGCTGTGCCGCATCCGCACCACCTGTTCCTTCCAAGGGTACCACCCCGATCTGCCGGCAGGGTTCCCGCACCACCCGGGCCGTGGCTCCTGCCCGTATTGCCGACTTCTCTCCTAATGGCTGGGCCTCTCCTCCCTTCGCTCGGTGGGGCATACGAAAACCGGCAAAGTAGAAGCTAGGAGAACAGGGCCTAGTCCGGAACCACGGCCTCCGAAGCAAGGGGACTGAAGGAGGAAGCCTCGGGTCCCCCGCGCACGGGCCGAAGTGGGAACCACAAGGAGGGGACGAGACAGTTCCTTCGGCCTGACTAGGAGTAGGAAGGCGGGGTCCCGGGCCGCGGTGGCTCGGTGCCCGTCGGGCCGAGGTTACGGGTGACAGGCCCCGGTACCGGCTGAATCCTTCCCACTGCTTGCTCGGAGCTTCACACTTACTAAGATCCGCTTGAAGAGAGCGTTCTCCTTGGGCGGGAGGCTCACGGCCGGCATCGTTCCGGCTCCTCCCGCTGCTCCCGCCACCGCCCGGCTCGGTCAGTGTGTTTGTCCGACCGCCGCCGCCGCCGTTCCCTGGCTCTTCAGCCTTGATTGCCCCGATCCACCGCCACGACCAGGCCTCGGGTGTCACAGCGTCGCCCAACCCCGACACCCCCTTCCCCTCGTTGTCTTTTTCCCTTTCTCACTTAACGCTGCCGCCGCCTCCCCCCCTCCCACCACGGGTCTCCGTCGGCGGTTCACGTGGTAACTGAAAAGACCGACAGAAGCAGCCAAAATGGCGGACGCGAAGAGATTTCGCACCCGGGTCACACCTCCTAGCACGCAGGCGCGATGACCTCCTTTCCCCACCTCTTCTGTCCTGGAGCTTGCTGGGTAAATTGGAGACGAGCCGACGGGCCGCGGGAGCTCCGAGGGTCGCGGCAGGCCCCGCCCACCCTGTCGGTTCTTAGTGTTTCGGAGGAGGCGAGGGAATGAGGACAGGATGGTCAACTCTGGTTCCGACCGCCTCTGCATTAAAAAATAGCCTTCCCGCTGCTAGAATGGCCTTTCGTTCATTGAATCGACTCTCCAGACTGATCATAACTCGAGCCTGCAGTGGTAAAATGCAGTGGTTTCAAGAAGCGCTGTGTTTGATCATAGACAAAGTGCCTAATTAAGTAGCGGGAGGGAGAGGAAAAAGGCTTCACGCCAGTGGGGGACTTGTAAACAGATACGGAGAGGAGGGTGCGTAATGGAGTCTAATAAGCGTGAAAGAGCTTGAGCAATTAAATGGCCTTGGTTGGAGTCCCAGTGATTTAAGTTGTTCCCTAAGATGAACCTGTAAAGGTAGCCAGATCCAAAGTGTCATTTCGCACTGCCAAAGAAGCATCTGAATGTAAAGTGTGTGTTTTTATCTCATTGTTGAGACCATACAAGGCAAGGTTGACAACTGTCTGAGTCACCTTGGGGCAGCAGAGTTAGGGACACTGACTCCCCTGACTCTGGCTTCCAGCTAGTGCTTTACATTGTGACTCTTTGAACTCCATCACCAGAAATTCTCTTCATCACCAGAAGCCTTATAAGGGTAGCTGTCAAGGATACTAGGAAACTACTGCAGTAGGCAAGGTCAGACTAGATACCTACTAGGGCCTTTTCCACATATATGTCATTTCATTAACAATCATAGTAAAACTTATTTTTTATTAGTTCATTTTTTATTGTATTTTTACATTACCATTTATCACCCTTTTACCCTATTCCACCTCCACCCACCCCCCTGAAGTAAGTTTTAAAAGTGGTATTCCATTGATGATCTACAGTTTTTCACATCGTATGAGCCATTTTTATCCGTGATTATTTTCGGTTACCTCTCTCCTGAATTTGATCCATAGCATTCTTTGCATCATGAATCATTAAGTAATATGTGCTGTGGCCTTCCTCTTTTAAATTTATTTGCCCAGATACTTTACTGGCTTCAGCTTCTTCTTCCTTAACCCTGTCTGGAAGGTGTGAGTTAAGTAAAATGCTTCCCAGTGGAAAAATCTGGGACTAATGCTGGGATTTTCTGCTATCTCAAACACCTCTCCTGTTACCTGGGTCATAAATAACGTTTTAGTAGTCAAATCCTGGAATCTCCTCAGTTTCTGTGATCTCTCTTCAAAAGTTTCAGTAAGAAAATTGTTTTAGAATATGGCCAGTTTTTTAATCTTAACTTTTCTTAAAAAATAAAACTTAGAACAAACTTAGAATTCATAAAAACAGTTGTTAATTTGTAGTAATCTTTGAACTTAACTTCCCCCTTTTAAAAAGTCTTGACTATCTGAACAATAAAACGATAGGAAGACTGTCTAACTTCAGGTTGTGTTGCGTTTAGGATTTTCTTTAAGATTAGGTTTAAGGTTAGAGTTAGGGTTAAGGGTCAGTATTATGTTTAGGATTAATATTAGGTGTATGGTTAGTGGTAGGGTTAGGATTAGGGTTCTGGTAGGTTTAGGTTTAGGGTTATGTTTAGGATTAGGTTTTGGTTTAGGGCTAGAATTAGATTAGTTTCAGGGTTGGGGTTAGATTTAGGTTTAGAGTTAGGGTTCAGTTTAGGTTTAGGGTTAGGACTGGTGTCATATCCAGAAGTCCCTATAGCCATATTATTTGCTATGGTTTTCTAAATTTCCCCTGTAAATAATATACTGTTTTCCCCCTGGGGGAAGAAATGTTCTGGTTTTTGAAAGAAACATTAGTTTCCACCAGAAGCTAAGCACCTAAATAGTTGAGCCAGCTATATAGTTTGGCAAACGTTACACTTTTTTGGCTGGTAACAAATACCAATTTTTAAGATTCAGTGAATACTAATCTGAGTCAACATTTATCTGAATCATATCCTAGTTAAAATGGACCTACGAATACAGATAACAGTTGAACCACATAGTCAGTGACTGATATCATGAACCCAACAATAAAATATCTGCTCTGATAGGTCACCACTATTTGACAGATGGAGATTCTGTTTATGCTGTGAATGACAGCTATGCAGGAAGTTAACATAGCCAAGGCTAGATGATGATGAGATGGCGGCGGCGGTGGTGGTGAGTTCATCTGACCCCAAATACTGGCATATGACTGTCAAAATGCCACCTCCCCCTACAATTAACCAAAAATTAAAAAGTAAAGCATGTACCTTGCAAACTGTAATTCCACAAAGGGGATATGTAGATGGACTAAAACTCTGGTTTTCCAGCTGCTAATACAAATCTCCTCTCCCTTTGCCTGGGTCATAAATAAGGTTTTAGCATTCAAATTCTGGAGATGCTTAAATAATGTCATGTAGCAACTTCTACCAAAAATATCAGACCTATTAGCTCTGGTTGGAACTGCTTCACTGAAATTCTTTTTGAGATGTGTTTTCACCTACAGCTGCCTACTCCAAGGGTAGGGTTCCATGAGCTCTAACACACTGAGAGAAATGTGCTTATACTTCAGCACTTTCCCAAAATATACACCAGTAAAAGCTTCCAGGGGCCAGCAGAACAAAACAACCTTTTCCAATAGCAGTACTGAAATTAGTAATTTGCTTTCTGGCTCTGTATACTCTGACTAAACCATGGCTTTTGTTCCAACTTGTTGGATACTAGCAAAAGCTGTGTCAGGACAAGTTTCCAAGGGATGGTGTAGAAAGGAGATACAGCTGAAGGGTTGCTGAGTGGACAAGAAGAGGCGAAGCTGAGAACCAACAACTGAGTCAGCATATTAGTTGAGCAGTTTGCTTACATGAGCATGAGTCCGGGAGGCTCAAACTAGGTTACAAACTATATAGTGACTTACAATTTAGCAATCTATGTAGCCATCAGTTACATGTAAAAGTGAACCAGAAAGCATAATACAGCTATTTTACTCTTCAGTTAAATTTTTTTTTCCAGTAACATAGTTAAAATATAGAAGGAAAAGGGATTTGTAAACATTTATCTTGCTTTTAAAATGAGCCTAAGTGACACAAGGCTTAAAGGATTAAAGTATTAAAATTTTATCTATACATATTTTGACAAGGTCTTTAGACATCAGATCAAAATGAGAATTGAATGCACAAGTATCTGGTCCAACTGTGAAAAACAAAATCTATTGATCAGTACAATGTCTTTAACAGGCAAAAACTAGTAGTTTAAAAACTAAGCCATCCAACAACCCTATAGGATAGGTTTTATGTTATAAATGTAAAACTGAGGCACAGAGAGGTTAAGAAATGAATGGCATTTTGAACCCTGCCCTTCAGCTCAGGGCCTTAGGAGACTGTTCCAGCCTTGTTGAATGGGCTAAGGAGGATCTCTAACTCTGGAATCAGAAGACCTCAATCTGAATCTTACCACCCCCAACTGGATGATCTTGAACAGGGCAGACACTTCTTTTAAAATGCAAGAATTCTCTTTTCCTGACAGGGTTGTTAGGCTTTACTATGATAGTACGAGTAAACAGACTTCAGGAACTGTAAGAAGCCTTTCCAAGTAAGAGGTGTGATACGTCAGCCTGGATGAATAGCTTGTCTTCTTTGAGTTCCATCTATGAATTGAAGATAATAATCCTGACATGTCATGTGGTAGTTGGGAAGAAGAAATGAAACGATGCATGTAAACCATATGATGCATTAATGCACAGTACCGACAACACAGAATTCAGTGAACATGCTAGTTATTATCCAACACGACACTTCATTTTCAGTTTTCTGGCCCCTGATGGTAGATTTTTAGTAAATCTCTCGATGAGTGTCCCTAGGGAAAGGGTCTGAAATAAACTCTCAGAGGACAGAGAGAAGAGGATAAACTACCTCCTCCTCGCCCCGCCTCCTTCCCCATCACCCACTCCTTTAATCATTTCCTTCCTAACCCCACATTTCACAGACAGGAGACGGAGCAGAAGATTGCTAGTAACCTTGCTTTTAACCGCGATTCTGAGCTAAACCCTCTGTGCGGCGCGGCTGCGGAGCCGCCTCCACCCGCCAGGGGGCGCTCGACCGGGTGAGGACTCCCGGAGACGCCAGGCTCGCGGAGGCGGAGCCCGGCCCGGCAAGATGGTGCCGTCCACTCTTTTGCGGTCCTTCTCCAGGCTGCTGGCCCCGGCCAGGCTCCCGGGCAGCTGTGAGTATTCCTCCTTGTGCAGGCCGATCCGACCTCCCAGCCTGCCCTTACCAGGGTGAACTAAGCTCGCGGGAGCAGGGGGCGGCTGCAGCCCGGGCTCGTCCTGCCGTGACCTTCGCCGGCCGGAGCCCACGGCTACCTCCACCCCTTACTCGGCTCCCCATCGCCCTCCGCCGACCCTCCCCTGAGTGCCACCCGACCCCTCTGGTCTATGCGAAGGGACTTTGGGTTCTTCCGACCCACTCTTCACAGGAAGGGAGGCCCTCCCGGGGGCGCTTGTTAGACGCCCACTCCCGAATCTTCCGAGGGGTCCGCAAAAGCCAGTAACGAGGCTTTGAAGGCTCCTAGGGGCCAGGGGCGACCGGTCTGGCTCTGCTGGTGATCCAGGGCGTGTTACCTTACTTCTTTGAAACTGTTTCCTTGGCAGTTTAAGGGGTGGGGGGAAGGTGAAGGGAGAAGTAAATGCGATAATGTACGTGAAACGTTAGGTGTTTTTCCAGCAAGGCGACTAAGTTACAGATTTACAGACCTTCTGTCCCCTTTCAGCGCCGGCGCGGTCAAAGTTCTATGTTCGGGAGCCGCTACATGACAAACCTGACTGGCTCAAAGTTGGGTTGACCTTGGGCACTTCCGCCTTCTTGTGGATCTGTGTAAGTCGTACTTCCTTAGTCGTGTGACCCCAACGCAGCGGGGAGGAAAAGCATCAGCGTGAGATTGAATGTTGTGAGCTCATCTCCTCTGCGGTAGCATAGGGATATAATTGCTCATGACATATTTCTCCGTGAGGGAAATCCCAAGGACTAACAATTTCATGGGCATCCAGAAAATTTGATGAAGCTGAAATTTCTGTCATTCATTGTTACTTAGCATGGTTTTGTCATAAATGGCATTTTTACTACATGTTATCCTTTATTTTATTTCTTAATGGGAATGGAGATTGCTTGGGATTTTATGAAAGCACTTTTTTTTCAGATGCCATAAGGACAAACCATCAATGAACAAGCTAGTATACATTAAACCCCATTAGACTTCCAAAACGTGAGATTTTAATCATTGGTTTGTATAACACATTGTTCTCGAAATTGTACTTAGTATATATAGGTATGTAGCAATGTAGCAGCCTTTTTTTTTTTGTCTTTACAATATGTCAAATGCTTTACATGTAAAAACTCGTTTAATCTCAACAACACTATGTGGTAGGTACTGTTATTGTTGACCTTTAACAGATGAAGAAAACACTTGGAGAAATTAGTTTGCTGAATGCTGTTCTCTGTAACTTCAGAGCCAACTACACGAGACCAATTTATACCTTCATCATTTAAAGCTTTCCTAAAAAGGAGTTTGATTGCTGCTGAGAGCTCTTGACTGAAATTAAATCTTTAGGGGTGAAGAGGGTATAAGGGGACTAAATGGTAATGGAAAAAAATATAATGATTATATTTTCATTATTTTTATTTAACTCTTATTTTTCATTATTTTTAAAAGTGAAAATAAAAAAGAAATTAAATCTTTAATTGCAGTGAATGTCATCCTGTATCAACCATTGTTCCAGTTGTATATTCTGTCAGACAGTGGTTCTAAAAACAGTGGCTGTCTTCTGTGACATCTAGTTAATACACATATAGTGGGTGTTGGGGTTATTCATTCACTCATAGTATCAAATTTCTAAGGTTAGAAGTGAAATACCCACCACCCAGCCTGGACCCCATCTAATAAGCAAGTCCTGCTTTGTTGTGTTGGTTTAGCCCTTCTGTGGTAATACATCCCATTAACTACCCACTGAATGAAGTAATTTATTTGGCAAAAGTTAAATTTAAATTCTTACGGATTGCCTTGTCAAGTTGAGTATGTCAGATTGTAATGAACAAGCATACACTTTTCATAGTTTTTGGACTTTTGCATCTCCTAGCTTTTTATTTCTAACTAGAATAGTTATAATTTTTTAAATCTATCCTTGTTCCTTTGCAAAATATAAATATTAGTTAGCATCTTCCTCTTTAACTTCCAGGAATATTACATTTATAATTTTAATTTTTACCTTCATCTAGCTCATCAAGCAACATAGTGACGATGTTTTAGAGTATAAAAGAAGAAATGGGTTGGAATAAAGTTTTTAAATACTAATACAGTAAGTATGCAATTTTATAGAATGAATAGATGTTGCAAGTTAATTTGAACTCTTTAAATAATATATTTTGGTTGTTTTTTTTAAATTAAGCTTATGCTTTTTAGCACCTATATTCCTATCTGTGACACAATTATGAATTTTTAATACCTTGGCTCTAGCATCACTTATCATAATCATTTATAACTATTATGCTTTATGTTGAAAGACAATTATGTTTAAAAATGAAACCAGGCCCTGGTGGGGTGGCTCAGTTGGTTAGAACTTCATCCCAATACCTCAAGGTTGTGGGTTTAATCTCTGGTCAGGGCACATAAAAGAAGCCACCAATAAATGCATAAAGAAGTGGGACAGCAAATCAGTGCTTCTCTCTTTTCCCTCTCTCTCTCTAAAAATCAGTAAATGGAAATGTTTTTAAAAAGAATGAAACCAAAATCATATTATTTAATTAAATCTAATAGGGCTATACACAGTGCCTTCATGGCACTTATGATAAGTTATCATATGTGTATGTACTTCTTTTTTTTCTTTTTAAATCCTCACCTGAGGACATTTTCATTGCTTTTAGAGAGATAGGAAGGGAGGAAGAGAAACATTTATTGGTTGCCTCCCATGTGCACCCGGACTAGGGATTGAACCCACAACCCAGGTATATGCCCTAACTGGGAATTGAACCCACAACCTTTTGGCTATGGGACAACACTCCAACCAACTGAGCCACACTGGCACATATATATAATAATTTTGAAAATCTTTTAAAGAAATCCTGTATTAATCTTTTTATAAAATAAAAAATCACACTGAAAACCTCAATTTTCAGTAGATTAGGTTGATTAAATAAATAATTATATCTGCTGAGTAAAATAGTAATCATTAATGTATACGTTTTCCCCCATATTAACCCTCAAACTTAGCTTATTAGGGTTTGATTATCCAAAATTTTTAATTTTTTTTCACGTCACCTTGTTCGTATCACTACTTCAGTCAGCCAATCAAGAGATAAAAATGAAATATTTGAATCAAAAGCAAATGCTTTTGCTACTCTTTTTTTGTAGTTCAAATAAAATATTTTTTGCTATAACTTAAAATGAGGGGTTGATGCTCTTTGTGGATTTGTTTTCTAGACTTGCCTTGTGCTCTAAGGTGAATTATTTGCAGTGGTCTGATTTTAATATTTCTGCTGGTTAATGCTATAGTTTTAATTTTTTTTCTCTTCATTATAGGTATGCTCCATATCACAATTAAAGCCGTTCCAGTCTGTTGAGTTGTAAATGTGAGAGAAAAGTTATATGTGAATATATGTTATTAGCACTTGTGTTTTGCATCATTAAATGAAGAAAATAAAAATATTTCTGTATTCACATTGCATATATTGTGACAATATGTAGAAAATGTCAGTTCAAAGGTATATATTAGACATATTTCATTATGGAATGCACCATCTGATAACATAGTGAGTGGTAATTAAGGACCCATCAGTAAGAAAACCTATTAAGGAGATAGATTTAAAAAATGACTGCAGAAGGATTTGTTCCTTATATTAACCTTTAACTTCTAATCAAAACACTTATTTTTTAGTGTATCAGGGTGATAGAACTACTTTATTAATCTAAATACAAAAGAATCCAAATACTCTTTTCTTCTAGAGGAATCGTTTTTGGTTAAGTGAGAAAGTAAAGTTGAATCCTATTAGATAGAGTTTCTTCTCACTCCATTTGATTTTGAATGATTTTCACTTGGATGCCTTGTTGTGGCAACGCAAGCTTCTTGTCCCTTTTTACTAATATTACTTTCATCCAATGAATAGCAAACTCCTGACTGTTTCAAAAAAGAAAGGAGGAGGGGAAGAGTTAATAGACACAAATTAGAATACACTTCATTTATTCCTCATCAAAACTCTTTCTTGTGAATCAATTAAAGCTTGTTTATGTACCATTAACTTGTAATTTAAACACTTAGTATACCATACATTTAAAAATTCATTATTTCTGTCTCCATTCTGATGTTGAGTGGAAAGGTTTATTGCCTTATAATTGACTTTATGTATGTTTTGGCCAACACTTATTGTGGGAGATTCTTGTCATTACCTCGGGATGTCACTTCTGAAAATAAAATCATAGTTACATTATTTTGGGTAATTCTTTAATCCAAATTCAGTGAAAGACCAGATACAAGAGTAACTTAACTTTTGTCAATTTGGAGTCCTAGCCGGTGTAGCTGAAAGGACCTTAGGGGTCATGCATACCAAGCTCATAATTTTACAAGTGCAAAACCAAAGGCAAAGAATGATTTGTCCAACGTCACTGTGGTAAGTAGAATAATGGACCCCCAAAGATAACCATGTCCTACCCCCTGGAATATGGGTACATGTTAGGTTATATGGCAAAGGGGAATTAAGGTTGCAGGTAGAATTATGTTAGTTAATCAGCTGGCATTGAAATAGGGAGATTATCCTGGATTAGCTTGGGCCCACTGTAATCAGGAGGGTCCTAAATGGAAGAAGGAAGCAGGCGTGTGAGTGAGTGAAGCAGTATGAAGAAGTCAAGAGGCCATTGATACCTTTGAGGATATAAGGGGACCAGGAGCCAAGGAATGGAAAAGTCAAGGTCATACAACCCTGTTGTCACCTTGATTTTAGCCCATGGAGACCTGTGTCAGATTTCTCACCTACAAAACCATAACGCAATAAGTCTTTTGTGTTTTAAACTACTAAATTTGTTATCACAGCAGCAGAAAACTATTGTCACATGGCATAGAGACCAAGAAGTCAGCTATCAGCTCTTGTTCAAGGCACTTTCCACTAAAACACTTGAAATTCTGGAAGCTGATAGCCTTAGGTGAAAATAAAATATAACTGCAATAAACACCGTCTACTGTATGTCTGGTCTTGACAATACTTACCGTGTGGACTTGCATCTTGGTTGTTGCCTGTATAACTCCAGGGGGAGCCACTTGTGAAGACCAGGGCTATCTGAGAGAACTTCCTGCAGCGATGGAGATGTTCTGTCTGCTATCCTGCGCGGCAGCTGCTACTGCCATTTAGCTCCTGAGCATTTGGAATGTGATTAATGTGACTGGATTCTAATACCTAATTTTAGTTAATCTAAGTAGCCACAAGAGGCTGGTATTAGCACAGACATAGATTATCCTATGAGTAAGCACCTCCTGGAGTTGTGCTAATAGCGATGCTGGCAAAAAAAAAAAAAAAACTTTCTAAAATATTGAAACCTGACTGAAACTATGTTAAGCTATAAAAAGGCAAGGATACAGAAGGACTCACAGACCCAGACCATAGGAAGACATCTGGGCTCAGAAATAACTGGGGCCTGGGATTCAAATGCCATCAAGACTTCACTCTTCACTCTGCTGTCTGTAGCCGCTCCAGAGCCTCTGCATACAGACCTCTTCCCCAATCCACGTTGTAAAGAGTTGGCCACAGTCAATAGTTCCTGGGTTTACATTTCAGTTCAAGAGAGTCACTGGACTGAAAAAGAATCATTCTGATTCTAAATTCTCAAGAGGAACTATGGTCAAATGATGGATCCTTTCTTGTAAAAGGCTCCATGAAAAAGAGGATGCAGACAAAATGTAGTCATACATTAAATACAGTCAAGTTTTTTATTAGATCGAAATCACGGCCTTTTTTCAGATTTAGTGTGTGAGGTAGTCACATAAGTTATTAACTTGCCATGAAAAATAAAACAGTCTCTATAAAAATTTCAACTGTAAGAAGTTATGGGTTGAAAGATGTGTTGTCTTAATACCCCAGTATCTCAGAGCATGGCCTAATTTGGAAGTAGGGTCATTGTAGTTAAGATGAGTTCATATTGGAGTAGTGTGGGCTCTTAATTCAAGATGACTGGTGTATTTACAAGAAAAGACACACAGGGAAAAGACACACAGGTGGAGATGGATATTGAAATGCTGCATCTACAAGCCAAGGATTAGCAGCAAACATCAGAAGCCGGAAGAGGCAAGGAAGAGTTCTCCGCTACAGGCTTGGGAGGGAGCATGGCTCCACTAACACCTCGATTTCTCTAGAACTCTGAGCCTCTAGGACTATGAGAGAATAAATTTCTGTTTTAAGCCATCCAACTTTGTAGCAATTTGTTATGGTAGCCCTAGGAAAATAATACAGAAGTATTCAGAGTATCATGTTTATTTTGCTACGGAACAGAAAGTGCATAGATGGGGAGAGTACCAAGTGACCCCCAAGAAGAGTTGCAGAAGTTACCTTCTTGATTACCCTTCCCCCTTCATTTTATCTAAATATATTAGGCCATCAACAGGGTGCTCATCAGGACTTTCTTAATTGCTTGCTAATTTGTCTTCCTAGACACTCTTCTAAATTATTTCACTTTATATCCACATTGATCTGTTGAAAGTACAGGTCACAGCCTAAGAATTTAGTGCTAAGAAAAACAAAGCTGTTTCTAGCTTTCTGTGGAGTTTAGGAAATCGTTCATCTGTGAATATTGCTTTTAATTATATAGCACGTAAGCTCTGAATAAGTATGCTTAATATTACCAGTAAAGGACCCTTACCATATGTTTTCAAAACTAGTATCTTTGTTATTAGTTGCAGTTAGGTGGACGTCATCTTAAATAAGCCAAGTTATCTCTGACCCTAGCTTCTTGTTTTTCCAAGACCAAGAAAAATGTCAAGGATATGCTCAAGGGCAGCATTGTGGACAATGTGACTAACAGCTGGGAAACTATTGCCCAAGCCTCACATAGTCTTCTGCAGCGAAGGCCCAATGTTAAAATTCTCTCAGGTTTGGGAGAAACAGCTTGCCACAGAGTGAATTTGACAACCCACAAGCATGTCCTCTCTTGAGAGATGTTTCAAGATGTGAAAAAAATTTGCCATCAAAATGGAAAGCTTCATGTCTTCCAGGAGCAGTAGAGTAGGAAGAAAATTCCCCTCCATCCAAGGGACAGGAGCCTTTAGCTAAGATGAAAAGGGATTTGGAAAGTGACACTATTTCTCACCATTTTTGCCTTTCCCAGCTGGGAGGCCACATCTAATCTAAAGGACATGATAAGCTCCCCACTGGGCTGTACCATCCATCAGATGTGGATGGTCGGATACAATGGGTCCTGTCCTGTACACTGAAAAGCTGCAGGACAAAGCCAGGGAGCCTTGAGCTCTCATTTATGCTTGAAGTGGAATCAAGAGCTGCCTCCTCCAACTGGCTGAGCACGTTTCACACCTGATGTGCCTTAGGGCTCCACATTTTACACAGGCCAGTAAATCAGACCTGGTATCTGACTCCCAAACTCATCCTGTTAACCACACTATTAGACTACCTTGATTTTTCTTGCATATGTAGCAATGATAATCAGCATTCCCCCACCTACTCGTAAGAATTATGAACAACAAAAATAGGTATGACGATACTTGAGAAAAATTTTTACAACCCTGTGTTATTTTTGTATTGTTTAAACCAGTTTGGTTGTAACCAAAGGCCTTAGATTACATTTATGATTGATGCCTGGCCAGAGGTTTCTTTGTGATCATTGACCCCACTGATGGTGGGCTTGGTTCAGTGTCTCTTGAGCCTGATACTTTACCCTCTGTGACAGCAGAAATCATATCTTACTCATTAAAGAATGCCCTGGAACAGTGCCTACCATTATACTGAATAAATGTTTGTAAAATAAATTATAAGCAAACCCCCAGCATCTAGCTCGGTCCCTAGCATACCATAGGCATTTTGGCAAATACAGTTTGATAGCACCTGGGAATGAGGTAGAAGACTTCAGACCATACCCAGACCCCAGTCTACAACTGAGTTCTGAAGGGGAGCCTAAAATAATGTCCTAGGAGCCATCATCATTTGCAGATGTTCATGCAAGAAGAATTATTTTGGGGGGAGCTTCCAACACATTAAAAAAATATAATGCATGCAGTATAAATGCCTTGCTGCCTTTGACAATTCCTCTCCCTAGCAACCAAATCAAAATCCAGCCCTAAGTACAAGAAGGAAAGAACGAGCAGTAGTGGTAGACAGATTTGTTTTCTTGTTTTTGGATTTTAAATCTGGTCGCTCCAAACTTGGGTGGTTAGGAGTGCTCTGGATTGATTTGGTTTTATGTATTCATCTGTTTTAGCTACCACAGTTCATTAAGCATTCTACACCATCAGTGAGATAGCTAATCCCTCCTTGCAGGGGGATGTGTACCTTGTGTTGGTCAAAGGTAGCAAGTGTACCAATCTTCGTTTTGTTACTTTCAGAACTACTGAACGACTTGGTGGAGGGTACAGGTCTAGCCCCTTGTGCTGCGTAGAAGTCTAAACTTGACCTCTTCTTACCTGCAGATTACCTAATTGCTCTTCTTAAGTGTTCAATCCCTAGGAATAGCTAGCTGCTGTTAGTATCAGAAAATCAGTTCTGACTGTTGGTTTGTACTCCTCAAATGAAAGCATGTTAAATATTATTAGAACTCTGTTCAGAACTAGAATCTCCAAAGAATGTTTAGTTATCAAGTAGTAAATGAGCAAATACTTTGTCTGCAACATGCCTTAGAGAACTTGGAACTAGAAAAAGGATGTTCACGTCCTTTTTTATTTTTTAAATGATCATTAATTCCTAGACATTTCCCCCCCCCCCCCGCCCCTGTTGTTTGCTAAAGGGATAATTGCCACATCCCTCAGAGGGATGGAATAAGAATTAAAGGAGAGAGTAAGTGGAAGTGCTTTGTAACTGTAATGTGCCAAACACACGTAAGGGATTATAGCGGGGCACGGTCCCTACCAAAGATTATTCATTTTAAAAATGTTGTAAATGATTGGTTTTCATATTCAAACTCCGACAAATTGTTGTAGCCACAATGAGTCAAGTGATTGAAATCTGGGTGAAGAAATTAATAACAGCATTTTTAGTTGATGTTGAAATACTAGTTTCACATCTCAGAAGAATACACAGCATTTGGGGGGTTCATATTTAAAGTCGTTGTATATTTAAAGTGCATTGCTTGGAGAGTCAGCCATTGCCTGGGGACTTGACGATTCTGAACATCACGCAGTGCACTGGAGCTACCCCTCTCCCCGCTCCCGTTCCACTCCTACGAGAGCTAACGGAGTGCGTGATATAAAGTGGGTTCGTATTTCATCCTGCATGATAAACCAAGTGTATGCCGTATTCTGGATGCGAACCCCGAAACATTTCCAGCCTTCACTGAGGAATCCCACCTAGCGCGACAGTACCGGGCAGACAGGTGACAGCGACTTCTTGGTTTCCTATCCTGTTTCTCAGATACCTCCAACAGCTTCTTGGACCTCTGAGACAGCCACAGAGTCTGGAGACTGGGTCAAGGGAGGACGGTCCGGACAGAGGCCGCCCGGGAGGGGCTGGGACCCTGGCCCAGCCCCTCTCGGGGGCGTGGCTCGCCCACACTCACCGCGCCTCGCAGAGTGCAGACCTCGACCGCAGAGGCTGCGGCGCGCCGGGCTGTGGGCACGATGTATCTCCGCAGGGCGGTCTCTAAGACCCTGGCGCTGCAGCTGAGGGCGCCCCCCAGCCCCGCGCCGCTCCGGAAGGACGGTGAGTGCTAGGCGCCGGCCCGTGAGTCTCTTCCGCCGTCCAAATGAAGAGGACAGGAGACTTGTGCGCTGATCCCGCGGGAGCCCCTAGACCAGTCTGCCCCCGGTGGGGCAAAACCGACCCAGAGCAGCATAAGCCTGAGTTGGCGGGAGGAGTGGTTGGGGAACGGGGAAGGGTAGCGGGGAAGACGCCCCGAAGTTCTTGGAAACTTAGAGTAGGGAACCTTTCCAGAGCGGCTTCTGAATACGGACTACACTTCCTCGGTTCAAATCTCGATCTTACTCAAGTGCTTTAACCTCAGTTTCCTCATCTGTAAAATGGGGACTATATAGTTGAGTTTTAAAGGGTTAATGTGTAGTTAACGCGCTTAACAAAATGCCTGGCTAATGTACTCTCGGCTTACCATTTTTATTACTATAGGGACCAATCCACTCTCCAAGTTCGTGGGGGAAGTGGAGGCTTGGGGAGGAGGGGTGGTGGGCACTGGTCAGCGAGCCCGGCAAGGCGCAGGACGGAGTGCAGCCCCAGTGGAAGCTGGTTTAGACTCTGAAGTGAATAAATTCAAGACTTGGACGGGGCGCAGCAGCCTCAACGCACGAGCCTGGGCCCTGGCATCCCCCGGCGACGAAACGGCTTTCGAAGCCCTTTCCTTGGCAGCTGCGCATAGACCTGGAGCTGTCCAGCTGTTTGCCTCCATCGTCAGTGTGTATCTATCACCGTTAGATGTGCGAATTCTTGGGTAAAGAGAGCGTATTCAGAAATTTCCTAGCGGGGAAGTTGCACAGAGAGCTAGAAGCCAGGCACCAATGCGCCTAGCCGCGTGTCTGGGACGCCGTAGATGCTCAAGTGTGACCGTGGGAGGATTTGTCAGTCGCTCCAGGTTCGCGCTCGGATGCGGCTCTGCCCCAGCCGGCTCTTTCCGACTCCTCATCAACCTCTCCTCCCTTTTTTCGTGCCCATGGATGGGAGTTCTGCTCCTAGATCACTTCGTAGAAAGTTCTCAGTTCTCCCTTCACGTCGTCCCACTTCCTAAGGATTGTCACGTAGCTTTAGCCCAGCTTGTGCATTTGAGCCAGAGAGAAAGACGTTCTTGCGGAAAACTCCGTGGGCCTCCCTTCCCCCACTTCGAGGAGCCCTGTGCTCGTGATGGCGGTGGGAGGGAGGGAAGGTCTGTCCAACTAGCTTTATTTTTCTCTTAAAACGCTGGTGGGAAGAAGTCGCCTTATAAGTAACAGAAATAAGGCATCTTCGTTTTCTTTGGTCTTTATACCGAGTAAGATAGAGCCTTTTTTTCCCCCCGCTGATGAAATGGAGAAGCCATTCATCTTAACCTTCTGAAGGTAGAGGGTTCTTGTGATGGGCGTGGGGCAGGAAGAAAGATGAGAGCCAATGACCTGGCCTTTCACGCCCCTTACCTGTGTGCATCCCCCGCGGTCATCGCGCACCTGCTTGTGTGTGTGTGTGTGAGCGCGCGCGCCTGCAGAGGGTTCAAATAATTTCCCCTTTACCTTGGGGCAAAGGAAAAGTGGTTTACATTTTCTAAATAGGTAGTTCTCAATTCTGGTTGTAGCAGTGCTGATCTCTCATTTTCACCTAATAACTTTTCTGTAGCACTGATTTGCTTGTCTGTTTGAAGAACCGTTATTGACTGGAAATTTGGCTTCAGTCGTGGACATCAATTAGCCTTTTATTGGTTCTTTGTGCTCTGACGAAAAATAAAATTGTTTCAGTTTTATTGAAGGATAAAATTGTAACTGCCTCATCAAACTTTGTTCTCGGGTTTTTCCTTTTAAAAATGTAACTTTTTAATGAATGAACAATTTAGGTTTATAATAAATCATTGGAAAAAAAACACAGAAAGGCAAAATAGAACTCATATGTAATTCTACTCTTCATTGAATACAGTTATTTACATTCTAGTATATACAGTATTCCAGATCTTTTCCCCCCTCCTGCATTTTTTTCCCTTATGCACAAATCTGGGATAGTCCTGTGTAGGTTATTTTGATATAACTTTGCACTTAATATATTGTAAATATTTTCTCAAGAAAGTAAACATTCTTCTGGAAAAATTAGGATGTCTATTTTTCCCCATTGTATGAGTATGCTAAAATTCGTCCAACTAATCCTTATTGAATATTTACTTCCAATTTCGTTGCTCTTTTAAATAACTGCCATAATTGTATTTGTATTTACATCTTTAATTAAATCTCTAATAATTTTCTTTCTTTCTATTAAAAAATCTTTCTGATATTTATGTCTGGTTGACAACTATAAAACTTACATATTTTCTATTTAATAACAGATGTATTTTAAACCAAAAAAAAGCCCTCTGCAGGTCAGCACCGTAATCTCTTATCATAGGCTATTTGGGCGCATTTGTAGGGAAAATATTTTTTCCCTAACAGATGGACATTTATACTCAAACTAAGACCATATATGTGAATTTGTCCAGTTTTGGCACTACAAATATTTGAAATCAGTGCCAATTTCTAGCCCCCACACCGCGATCCTCTCTCCTCAGGCCACAGCAGTCCCTCGCCTTCCCCAGACACACCACTTCTGCCTCCAGGGCAGCGTCCCTCCCCTTCGTGATCTGACGCACTCCTGCTTTCCTTCAAAGCTCAGGCCTTGTCAATTGTCACAGCTACCCGGAGCCCATTGGCTGAGTTTTTTACTGCGTTTTCACACTGTTCTTGCAGCTTCTACTTATATCGATGACACCATTTATCATACTGCATTGAAATTATTGTCCACAGCTATCTGTCTGAACATCTGGTCCTTCTTGTAGACTGTGAGCTCCTTGAGGCCAGGAGCCTGTGTGTCTTGTTCACAGTTACATCCTTAATGCTTCTGAGAATGCCAGGCACATCATAGGTACTCGACTGTATTTGTTGATGGATAAAAAAGTTTACATTTTTACCTCTAAAATAAAGAATTTCAGCCATGTGAACTTTAAGCTCCTTCTAGCTTTAAGTCTATTATAAATATCCAATTGCCTTAAATTGCTTGCTTAAACCATACTTTCTTGCATTTCAACTATAATTCCAGGAAATATGGTATACACAAATTCCAGCACACAGAGTAAATATATTTGAATATAAGAACACAACACTTTTATCTGTTAGTTTGTACAGAATTGTACTTCTATTTCAGATATGATCTTCTTGCAACATTTGTCTTAAAAAAGCTTCTCACTGCCCGTCTTTAAAGGCTTTATATTAGAAAAATATATCTACATTTGTGTTATAGACTTACAAAAGTGTGTTCATTTCAACATAAATGTTGTATTTAACATATAAAATTTAAATACAAATATATTTAATTCATTTTTTTTGAAAAACTGTCTTTTCCTCTACACACTGTGGTGGAGTACGTACAGTAAATGGATTTCTTCTGCTTATATGCATCTTGTTTGATTTGAAAATTGTTTAATGCTTTTGTCATTTCTCCTCACCCATGCCTGCCAAGAAAAAGCCTCATGCTAAGCATCAAAATGACAGGTTCATAAGTACTTGTCGAATTAGGTTGGGGAAATGTCAAGTGGAATTATAACCACACCTCGTAATGCCATATTCCCTTAAGCTCAAATCACTTGATGTTAATAGATTCTAGGTTCACCGAACAGAGTTGTTTTTTTTTAAGACATAATTATGTGAAATAGTTTTGCTTCAGTGGCGGAGCTAACTGTGTTTGAACTTGTTTTCCTAGCACCTTTTCGCTGGATGTCATCTAAAAAGTTTCCTGGGCTGCCTGGATCAAATGTAATCTACTGCCTGGTTGTAGGTGTCACGGTCAGCGCTGGTGGATACTATGTGAGTGTTCGCCCACGGAGTTCAGGGTTTCATGTATTGCACAAGCTGCGGTAAACTCGAAGCAACATTCAGGTCAGGACAAGGGATTCTGAGAAAGGCCCAGGTCATTTTAATTATTTGAGGGTCTGGATAGATTAAAAAACATAATGCCAGGCTGGCTTGTGAAACTTGTGGTATATTTTAAATGCTTATGTATAATAAACAACATGACTTGGAAATAACTTCCAAGGTCTAAATTTGAGGCCCTTTCTTCTAAAGGCCTTTCTTTTACTCTGTGTTTGACTATGTTAGTTTTGGAAAAGCTAGGTTCCCTGGGCCACCGAGGAGTGCGACTTTTTCTATTATCACCATCTCTTCAATTCTGCTTAAAGTAGTTTATTTTTCTCATCTTGTGTTCTAGCCCTTGAATAGTAAGACTGATGTCCCTCGGGATGTCGCTGCTGGGATGGTCAGCTCAGGGATGTGAACTTCTGCACAGGGTCCGCACTGGTGTACTGAGGACTGAGGGTGCTCACTCCGCGTACTGGTCCTTTAAGCTGTCTTTGCTGTTCTATCTGCTGTGCTTGTTTTCAGTTATCTTTGACCCCTGTGAGAGCATGTGTTTCTTTCCTTCTTTATGGATTCTAAAAGGAAATAAAAGAGTAGATGATGTGCATTGCTTTTTCTTCTTTGAATTGTATGTACCTTTAAATTTGGCATGATGAATATAAACCATGACCAAAAAAATGCTCAAGAAATAAGCTTAATCACACATTTGCTTTCAGACTTATAGGACAGTAACATCAAAGCAAGGCAAACACATTGAACCTGTAACAAATTTGAAAGAAAAAACCAAAGCAGAGTTACAGCCACTTCCAGGTAAGGTGAATCTATTATTATTATTTTTTTTTCCTTAAGGCTCTGATGTTTACCATCTTAGCCTAGCAATGAATACTGTTTGCTTTGGGCTTCTTTACTAACTTAATCCAGAACGGCTCTGGGTGGGAGTTGGTCCTGAAAGGGAAAACCCAACCAAAACCTAGAGAATATTGTTGTATGTTTTGGATGAGTGCATTTAATAAATGGAACCAGTTTGCACTGGTACTGCTGACCAGCAGTTTTGACTTCTTTGTGTGGAAATGTTACTTTTCCCTCACCCAGATTACCATTCATGCAGGCATAATTGTAGTATCTGCCTCTCAGCAGCCTGACCTCTCCTTTCACTCATTATTCTCTTAAATCATAAAACTAATTTTTGTTTCAGTTTTGGCTAAGACCATCTGGGTATCTTTGCCTGAAGTACACGTGACATTAGTAAGAATCGGTCATGCCTGTTGAGTCCCTCAGTTGATCTGATTAATAAAATGGCAACTACAGGAACAGAAACTTTCTATTTTTACCCTAATAAATATTTCTTGCCTTAAATTGCTTGCTTCAACCATACTTTCTTCCATCTCAACTACAATACTATTATTATCAATTATTGTGATGATTATTTTGTGACAGAGATAATAGCTGCTCATGGACCAGTTTTAACCTTTCAGTCACGACAACAATAAGAAACATAATGTCACTAGTAAACATTATTGAATATAATCATAAGAAGGCTGATTATAATAATAAAATGCAGCATTCCCATAGTATTTTAGTGGTTTTGAATCCCCTTTTACATAATTTTATTCAATCCTCACAATAGGCCTCTGAGATAGATATTATCAATATCCCCCAATTTACCGATGACAAAACTGAGGGTGAGAAGATTCCTCAGAGTCATTGGCTAGTAAGTTGGCTACTTTTCTATGCTATCTCACAATGGGTTGGTTCTTTATTCTTCTGGGTTTTGTGTTTTGTTTTTTTTTTTGTATTTGAATAAATAACATATGTAAATTCTTTTTAAAAGTTCAGCATGTTGAAAGGGTTTGCAGAAAAGTCGATTGTCCCATTTTCCCTCCCCAGAGGCAACCAATAATACCAGCTTCTCGGAATCCTCCTGGAGAGAATCCTTGCAAATATAACTACCTGGGCATATAGGTTACCCTCCTTCTGCCCTAATACAAACGGTATTAAACTGTATGCATTGCTCTTTTCCTTGCTTTTTTCACTTAACAGTCTACCTTCAAGGACATTACATCCCAGTGCTTATAGCTCTGTCTCTCTTTTTTAAGTGCCTGCAGTGTTCCACTGTCTTCTCATGCTCTTTCAATTAATATTATCCTTTGCCTAATGGACTAAATCTTAAAGGTGAAAAAGAGAACCTTGTGGAAGCGGAGATAGCAAGTTCCGAAGCCCCTGAAGTATCTTCAGTGGAAGCTCGGGTGATCGATGCTGAAGAAAGTTCAGATGCTACAGCCGCAGCGGCAACAGAGGCTTCAGCCTGGCCGGACGCCTCGCAGGCTGCGCGGGTGGAGGCCCCCGCCGTCGCGCCGGGACCCGGGCCGGGGGTTCCCCAGGCCGCCAGGGGCGGAACCGCCGAAGTCGGCACCGCGGCGACCTCGGAGGCGAGCAGCGCGGCTCCGGATGAAGCCGTTGCCATCGATAATGATAAAAGTACAACAGAGGACGAAAGCGCCGATGAATGTGCTGAACATGAAGAAGGAAATTCTCCAGTTGAGTCAGACTCCTCTGCTGGGGATGATTTACAGGAAGCAGCCAGGGTCGGCTGCTGAGGCCGCCCCGGCTCAAGACTAATCTCACGCAGATTGTCACTTCAGCAAAAAACGCCATAGAGACTGATAGGTGCTTTTGTAGTTTTAGTCATCTTAGGGTTTTTTGGGGTGTTTTTTTGTTTTTTTTTTAGGTTTCTTTTCTAGAAAACTTTGTCGTGCCTTGAAGACTTTCGGTATCTACTTGATAGGTTTCAGGATTGAAAAATTTGCGATTTTATGTGTCTGAAGTTTTCTAGTCTCTGAGGTCAGAATATGACATTGCAGCAAAGAGCTGCAAAGACTTTCATCTTTGGATTTAAGTTTGACATCATAAGAGTTAAGCTATCTATGCAACCTGCATTCACTTAAATTTTGCTCCACCATTAGCTTACTGTAATGTATGTGAACCTAGATTCTTGAGTTTTGATTTGAACTCAAATAAAATTCGAATATCTTTAGTGCTTCTATTTGTATTCACTAATATTTATATGTATAAATAATACAGTATATATTAACATACACACACATAATGTCACACGAATATTGCAATGTCATCTAAGAAATCACATAATCTAAGGAGGACTCTGTATATAGCAACATGTGGTCTTTGTCTTTGGTAGACTTCCCTCCTAATCCCAGGATGAATCACCGCAATTCTAGGTGCTTTATTGAACCACAATAATGTCCACTAGAAGTCTTTCAAACCGGAATTTCCTCACTTAAAAAAAATACATTTTTTTCTTAACATTTTATTGTAGAAAACTTCAAACAAAAGTATAGGGAACAGGATAAGAAATCATGTGCTCTACATGCAGATTTATTGCTCTTGGCAAACCTGATATTCACAGCCCTACCCACTTATCTTCTACCACAACCACTGCCTATATGTAATAACAGTAACAATAATAATTTTCTAGTACTACTAATTATCTAGTCAGTGATCAAATTTCCTCAACTGCCTCATAAAGGTTCCCCCACTTCAGGTTTTTTTTTAAAAATCAGAATCCAATTAAAGTCCTCACACTGCAATTGGTCAACATACTCTTAAGTCCCTTTTTCTATAGGTTCTCCCTCCATCTCCCCTTTGCAATTTAATTTTTAAATAAACTGGGTCATTTGATCTGTAGAATTTTTCACAGTCTGGGTTTTGGTTATTGCAACATGTGGTTTTTGTTTTGTCTTAACATCCCTAGTTCCTGGTTACACTGATATACAGTTCATACAGGAAGGATAAAATAAGTACTTTGAGCTTTATTTCTAAAACAATAAGATGGCATTCTCCATAAGTGACCAGTAAGTTATTTTTAGCATCATTATAAACTCAGCAATTTAAACATAACTTATGCACTTCAATCAATTGCAGTTATTACCCTTACTAATACTCAAGTTCTCCATCAGTGACAAATGGGAGATTCTTCAAGTGGTCTTCTGAATCCTTTTGACTTAACGCTCACTCATACTCTTGAATCTCATCCTTGCTTTCTGGTATAAGATGTAAATATCCTACCCCAGACCTGAAATCAGCAGGAGCCCTGCTTCTTTTTACTATGATTGTAATATTCCTGTCAGAGTGTATTTTCAAACATTGGAATTTTGATCATGTGATAGGTGAAAAATATCTCAGTGTAGTTTTAATTGGCATTTCCTTTATTAAGAATGAGGTTGAGCCCTGGCTGGGGTGGCTCAGTGGACTAAGCACTGGCCTGCAAACCAAAAGGCCACTGGTTCAATTCCAGTTCAGGACACATGCCTGGGTTGCAGGCCAGGGCCTTGGTTGGGGGCGTGCAAGAGGCAATTGATCATTGTATTTTTAGCATATGGATATTTCTTTACCTCTCTTTCTCCCTCCCTTCCCCTCTTTCTCAAAATAAATAAATAAAATCTTTTTTTAAAAAAAAGTGAGGTTGAACACTTTTTCATTTGGTTAAAGTCCATGTCCATTTCTTTTTCTGAAAACTATCTGTTCATATCTCTAGTGAATTTTTTAGTGTTGTCAATACTTTCCTATTCTATTTTTTTAGAAGCTCCTTATGTACAGAGATGGTAAACTTTTGTCTCTGATACAAATTATAAATATTTTTCTAATTTGTCATTCATCTTCTTACTTATGATGCTTTTTGTAGTGCAAGAAATTTTTAATTTTTAGGTAATAAAATTCCTGGTTATTTCTGAATTTTGAGCCCTCGTTAGTGTAGCAAATTGGGAAAACATAGCCACAAATTCTTCTCCTATATGCACAGTCTTGTAAAGTGTGCCTTTCTATCTCTTCCCATCAAAAAATTGAGATTATTCCACCCCCTACAATGTGGGCTTGCCTTGTACTTTTTTCTTTTTAAGACTTACTTATTTTTAGAGAGGTGGGAAAGTAGGGAGAAAAAGGAGAGAAACATCAAAGTGAGATAGAAACATTGGTTGCTCTTCTATGTGTCCCCACCCCGGGGGACCAAACCTGCAACCCAGTCATGTGCCCTGACTAGGAATCCAACTGGCAGCCTTTCACTTTGCAGGGTGATGCCCAACCAACTGAGCCACACTGGTGAGGGCTTGCCTTGCATTTTGACAGAATCTTGTGAAAATCATCTTGGGAGAGTTCGCATACTCTTGGACCCCTGATACCACCATGTGAAGAAGCTTGGGTTTGAATCCACGAGAATGAAAGACCATATGGAGAGAGAGGCCCCACCTACAGCTTGGTCATCCCAGGCCATCCGGCTCCAGGCTTGAGGACAACTGTAATCACCTGGACCCAGGCACAATCAGAAAAGAACCACCCAACCGAACACAGGCCAGATTTCTGGGCCACATAGTTGTGAGCAAATAAGATGGCTGTGTATTAGGCCATGAGAACGGGGGAGTTTAAGCAGCGACATGTAGTTGAGATAGGAAATAAGACCTAACTTTGAATTTGGCGCAGACTTGCCTTCATATTGTCGCAGTTTCACATTCCTCAACAGGGGTGAAGAAAGCACAGGTGTGCCCAGCAGGCCCAGAGTCTTCTGGCTTTACCTCCTGGCCGCTGCTGCCTTTTCAAAAACTTTTGTAGAACTGCTAAATGTCCAGTGTGACTGCATGCTGAAGGTTTCTTTTTTCCTTTTACCATTCAGTGGGTATTTAAAATAATCCTTTGAAGCAGCAGCTATCACATCCACAAGCAACTTACATTTTATTAACCTTTTTCAACTTTAACAAGCAATGTAATGTAAGTTTAACAACAGTTTCCATTGGCAGCACTTTTATTATCAGACCACTGATTGATTTCAATAAAATAAAAAATATGCATTAAAAAGAGACCTTGGAATAGAGTTTGGGGCCCAGAATGTGAAACCCAATGTAAAAGCTAAACACTGGCAGCAGAGTCCGATAACCATATTATTTCTCTTGATGAAGACTGGGATGTAAAGGAAGACTAAGTTTACAAAAATGCAGTGTACGTTCTAAGGAGACAAGGACATTTAACAATCACTTTACATTTAAAATTAAATTATTACTTTGAATTTAAGTATTATTTTAATTGTTGAAAGAAATGTATGGCACAATTGTGGGCAATGGAACTGAGATAACGGTCCATTTTTTTTAATCTGAATTTTTTGTCACAAAGTGTATTTCAAGCCAGCTTTTGAGAATTGCAGCTGGATTCAGGAAAGATTAGTTACTGAATGTGTTAGTGACTTCTGTGCCAAGTATTTGTCCTGTCAGACAGCATCTGTTGACCAGAAGCAGCACTGCCCATTATAATAGAGCACATTATATAATGTTTTTCCTAAAGATCCCTCTTAAAAACTTCCTAGAAACAAATTATTTATCTTTTCAGCTAAGTTTTTAGTAAATAAGTTGGAGAAATTCGTAAAGTTAAATATTGATATTTGAGTTTTTCACATGGATGTATAATTTTAAGTAACCATTGCCCAAATTAATGATTAATATAAAAACTTAACTTTTATTTTCTGAGATTATTTCTGAGGAAGGGGAAGAGAATGAAGAGAAAATTAGTTTTTTTCTCTCATCATATGATACGAAGATGAGAAGATAGTGGGCATTACTACTCGTCCTTTAAGAATAAGAATCTCTCCTCACATATCAGAAATGCTTTCATTCAGGACTAAGGAAAGGTTCTCATTTGGAGAGGAAGATTTTATGTACACTGTGGTTCTATCTATTATGTCTCATGTCTCAGGCAGAAACCAAACAGAATGACCAATTATACAGATTGTTAAACTTCATCTGTAGATCAGATAACAACTGATTGAATTTATCATGAAGTGATTTTATTCTGTTAAGAGATTTAGTTTTACAAAGCCACAAACCAGTTAGTTATTTTAGTCATATAGAACTCTGAATAAGGAAAATAGTACATTTTTAAATAGACCTCAAATAGTAACAAAATATTCTGGAACCAAGCTCTTTTGAACTTACCATCACATCTCTCCCTCCCCCTAGTCCTCTCCATCTCCAAACTGTCCCCAACTGTTACCTTGGTTCAATTCCTCACACCTTTAGCCACTTAGCAAGTATTCCTGCTATTCAAGTCACAGCTATCCTTCTAAAATGGTAAGTAGATCCTGTTAGCTCCTTGTGTAAAACTTTTCACTAGCCCACCAATACCCGATGGAGGACATTTAAATTTGTTAGTACTTGACAGTCAAAATTCTTATTCTATGGTATGACATCCAAGGCCCTCCAGCAAACACCCCTGTCCAATCTTTCACCACTCTTACTTCTGCCCTTCCTCCGATTTTCTTGCAGCCTCCCGCCACCCTCCCTTCCCCATGATCCAGACAGCCGCAGTGATTTCACAGCATCTTTACTTGAACTTCCTGTCCCGTTTGTTTCACGCCTCAAGGCCCTAGTACGAGTAGTTCACTCTACCTGGAAAGACACTCCCAACCCCTCAGCTGCTTCAACTGCTAATTACTCCGCTCTAACAACATCTGCTTCACAACACCTCTCCTCACCTGACTGAGCTGAACCCACCACGCCTTCCTTTGTGTCATTCTGTACCGTACTCTATTTTTGCTCTTATC